AGCCTAAAAATTTTTTAAACAGCTTATTTTTAGAGGCTGAAGGTAGACAGAAGTCATTCTGGGCTATTAATTAACTAGAGGCAAAGACAGAAATGTGCATTTCCAATTGATTTTTTTTAACCCACCTCCTCTGTTCTGGCTCTAAGAGCAGAGACCTTTTGAAATTCAATGCTTGAAAGGGGCAGAGAGAAAAGGAATAGAACAAGGTCCATGAAGCTTCAGAAAGTACAACTGTGCCATCAAAAATAACTAGTGTAGGGAATTTAATTCATATGGCAGTCTAGTTGAATAGTTTATTGCCTGGTGGGCTAATAATGCTTCTTACTGTTTCTGTCTTCTCTTCCATTCAGATAAAAACAAAGACACAAAGACAAGAGATAAAAACAACAGTCTACTAGATTATAAACTGTTCTTACAGACTACTAAAAAAATTAAACACATACACACACTCTTCCAGATCATTTAACGCAAGTCCAAAGATCTTGCTGGTGGCAAATTATACAATGTTTTAAAATTAGTGTACATTGAAAGCTGTTTCCTAAGTTGCCTAGGTCTTTTAAACTTGTATTTTATTCTGACTGCCTTTCAGTTCAATCGTTTATTGAACATCTACTATATGTCACAGTCTGTTCTGGGCAATGGGAATATCAGTTACAAATGGCCTCTGATCTTGAGGAGCTTGTAATGAGTTTGTGAAGAAGATAGTGTATATGCAATTTTAATAAAACGTGGTTGGGCTACATGCAGTGGCACATATCTGCAGTCCCAGCTATTTGGGAGAGTGAGGGAGCAGGATCTCTTGAGCCAGGAGTTCAAGGCTGTAGCATGCCATGATTGCACCTGTGAATAGCCACTGCACTCCAGTGCAACATAGCTAGACTCTCTCTCTAAAAATATAAATAATTAAATTAAAAGGTGATTGGTGTAAGAGTGATAGAATACTCAGGTTAATGCTTGAACATGGGGTGGGAGCATGAAAGAGGGCAGGGAAGGTTTCCTAGAGCAAATGATGCCTCAAATGAGGCCTGTAGAAGGACAGGCATTTAACCAGTGGGAGGAATATTTCAGGCAGAAAGAAGAATGAGTGCCTAAGGCACAGAGGGATGAAATAGCATGATGGACACTGCCAGGAGACGGGGTGGCTAGGAACCCCAAGCAACTTTGCATTTTTGGTGATTAAATGAGAGGCAGAGAGTAACAGAAGCCAGGACATAAATTATGTGTGCCATCCTGGCCTGTAGGTGGCCAGATGCCACTGAAAGGTTCAACTAGAGGAATGAACCAGACAGATCTGGATTTGAGATTCATCACTCTGGAAACTTATGGGACAAGATGGCATCTCAGAAGGTGAGAAGAAGTCAGGGGCTACTTTCTATAGCCCAGACTCTTCAGTGTCACTATTAGGAATGCAACCATTCCTGAAAGTATACTCTAGAATGATTCTGGGATGCCATGAGATCACTGGACCCAGAAACAGTTTGGAACCTCAAGTGCACCACTGGGCCATTTAAGGTCTCTCCGCTGGCAACTCCCCTGAATCACAGACTGATTGGATGACGGCTGGTTGTATAACTAGCTGCCTCTGACAGGCTCTAAGGTGTAAGTGGGCAAGCAGATCTCCTCCATCAGTGTTTGCTCTTTAACTCAAGCTCTGGAATAGAAGCTATTAACAAATAGCAGAACAGAACCTGTCAAATACAAGTTAACTATGTTGAATTTGTACTTAAGTCTCCTAACGAATAGAACTCGGGATACCACAGGCTTTTGTTGCCTTCATTTTTTCCTTTCTTTTTTTTTTTTATTTATTTTTATTTTTTTAAGACGTCTTGCTCTGTCGCCCAGGCTGGAGTTCAGTGGCGCAATTTCAGCTCACTGCAACCTCCACCTCCTGGGTTCAAGCAATTCTCCTGCCTTAGACTCCCGAGTAGCTGGGATTACAGGCACGCACCACCACGCCCGGCTAAGTTTTTTATTTTTAGTAGAGATGGGGTTTCACCATGTTGGCCAGGTTGGTCTCAAACTCCTGACCTCGTGATCTGCCCGCCTCAGCCTCCCAAAGTGCTGGGAACACAGATGTGAGCCACAGCACTCGGCCAACACTTATTCCTAATTTGACATTTAAAAAAGCATTACAATGGGCAGGTAATGGGGCATCTGGGCAAATAAAATGCTTTCCAGCTTTGTCTATGTCTCATTCCCTACCAGCCTTACAGATTTTTCTTGCGTCGCCTCAGGGGAACCCAGGGACTGTAGTCACAGTAGGCCTAGGAGCTTATATCAGACTTGAGCTCTTTTCCCAATCCTCTGCAACTGCTCTTCACCCACCCCAGCCCAACAACTCACAGCCAAGAGCTAACGCATGAAACTCTAAAACAATATGTAAGTATCACTCATTCCCACCAACTGAAGATCTCATTCCTTATCTTACTCTTCGTCCCATATCTCTGCCTGGCTATGATTTTTTTGCATTCCCCTCCTTTATATTTACCATTCAAAAAAGCTAAAATTGAGCATTTGTTCCCAGTATCCATTCTCTGAAATATTCTTTTCCTATCTGTCATCAAAACCTTCCTTTTCCATAGCCAACCTAGCAAAATCTCACTTTCTCCATTCTTAGGTCATTTCCAGCCATGATAGCCCCTTCTCTTGACTTAATTCATGTAATAATGATTATCCATTTTGTAATAATGTATCTTGCATTGTCATCTGAATCAGCTTATACATTTTTTAAAGCCCAGACCAAGGCTTATACATTCTCAAGTCCCACCTGTGATGCCTACAGTGACATGCCTGGAGTGTGGGCTCAGTAAATCTCCATTGAACAATAACACTTTGACACTCATGTAAATTTCTTCAACCAGTATTTTCATTCACAAAGATAACAGAAAGGCCCTCAAGGGCCTCTATAGGCAGCAACTGAGAGCATTTTCCGAATTTATTTAAAAGGAAACGTTAAGCCTATAAAAGGTTAAAAACACCTGCCCAAAGGTAAAGAAATGGCTGAGTCAACAATAAGACCATGAGTGTCCCAACTTTATAAAAGAAAATATTTAACAACTTAACAGCATCCCCTTTGACAAAGTTATCCTTACCTTCAACTCAAGACTTGTCTGCACTGAGAGTACTATGTATCTGTACTGTGCTTCAGAGAACCCAAAATGTCCGAAAATAATGAAGTCATTTGTATTGTTATGGAAATGAATAATATGATTCTGGGACCAACAGTCTTTCAATAATGTGACACATTGTACTGACACATTCCTCACATTTGGAGAAAGCCTGCCGGGGACAGAATCTGACAGGGCAGATGACCCACCTACATATGATCAAGAAGCTGATGATGTATCATGTCTTTGGAAAGTGGCACAGAATACTAAATGGATCACATCACAGTTACCCCAGGAGAAATGATTATAACCCAAGGTATTATACACAAACAAACAAAATGGGGCTGGGAGTGAAGACTACGTAGTAGGATAGACTTCTTCAGCCTAATGAAATGACTGGAGCTGAAAATGTTCTCAATTAAAAACATATGATTGTGCACTAATAGATTTTTAAATGAGCACAAGTAACTAAATAAATTAGTAATCATACAGGTACTAATATACAAATATATAATGTACATTTTAAACACAAAACAGAAATTTGTAAAAGGTAAAGATAGAAACAGACCTTCTAAAATATTCTTCCTACACCCAATGGACTACTGGGCTCATTCCTTAGGATTCACCACCTCGCTTTGGAGATACTGCTTTAAAATATTTATAAAAGTGCAAAGCCAAAGGTTATTACTCTAATTATCTCGAAAACTCCTAAATTACTTTCTTCCCTTAACTAAAGCATATGTGCCCTAATGTCCATAGCAAATTCATTAAAATTCTAATGGTAAAAAGTCAGAGAATGCACAAAAAATCAGAGAAGGTTTATACTGGATAGTAACAAGAAGCTACAAAGTATAAATGGCTCTGAAGCAGAATTGATTTTGCTCGTTTTTGATCTAAACTGTGTCCCCTATAATTGTTGCGATTTACAGGCTCAGTGCTTTGACCCGTGTGCTGTTTCCGGCCACAGGAAGGAACTGGGTAGTCATTTAAAAACTGTCACATAAATAGCCACTTACCAGCTCACCTGGGGAGTGCAATGTTGGGCAAGTAGTAAAGAATGCCAATTTTATTTATTTTACTACTTATAAACTCCCTAAGGGGCAGGATAGTAAATTTTCTGAACATTCAACCCTTAATTATCCACACAGCAGATCAGAGAAGTCAAAGTAAATAATAAAAAAAAAAATTGTAATCACTTTGTAATGAAGACATATATTCAGGTATACTCAGGGATTTTTCATTAAGTTACACAGGGACCACCAGTCGCAAAACAGTAGAGCACAGAGATCAAACACATGAGCTTTGGAGTCAAGAGACCAAAGCCTAAGTAACGGGCTTAGTAACTTACTAGCTGCATAACCTCAAGCAAGTTATTTAACCTCGGTAATTTTCTGTTCCCTCTTCTGTAAAATGAGGAAGCTAACATTAGCTACCTTACAGGTTTGTAGAGAAGATTAAATGACATAATGCATTTGAAGTACTCAACAGAGTACTTGGTAAATGTTTAATAAATGTGTATTTTAGTATTATTAGAGCTTAAGAACTGGATGGAAATCAGCAGGGAAGAGAGAAAGAGAGAGGATGTAATTATGGTCAAGTATATTGCAAAGCAATATAAAAGTCACTTTAAGGAACAACTGCTGTTCTTCTAAAAATATCCAAGGAACATGCATGTACCCTAATTGCTTTTGTGAAAACCTCGGTTTTTGACCAGATACCTATTCTAGGAAAGCAAGATGAAAAAGTTACTTTTCTTCCTACCTGAAAGAGTTTCCCTCCCTATGTTTCTAGAAATCTAGTTACCTATCACAGAGGTACCTATCACCTGATTCAGTGTGATGGAGGCCCCTGGGGTTACTGAGACCAGCAAAAAAAGTGGAATTCATACATTACCTGTGCCCAGTGGTTTTTAAATACAATCATGCATGTTTCTGGGTCAACTCCCTGTAGGCTCACAGCCTGCTGGAGTTTGCTTCCTGTCGAAACCGATGACATCATAAGACTTCATAAATCAATACTTCTAAGTCATATTTAATTTTCATTAAAATTTGGTAGCAGTCACTAACTTTCAGGTTTGAGAAATGGAACTTCTTCACATTTCATTGTCACCTTCCAAAACCTGTAATGACAATAACAAAAAAATGAATTTTATTATGTTCATAAATTAAATAGGACACTGACTATTAAATTTAAATCAAAGCTTAGACATTCTTAAAGTCCAACACAGAAAAAAATCTACAAAACAGATACACTCAATCTAAAGGCTCTCCTATTTTCTCCTACTTTGCTACTAAAAATACAAAATAATAATGCTACCTAAGCTACATGAATAAATGAAACAATTATTGGGTTTTTTCTCTCCACTACAACCAGCCACAACCCCCCAAAATTACTATTCTAAATCACTCAAGTTCAAGTCTAGTTTCTAGAATCAAGCAAGAAACTATTAGGTTGGTGCAAAAGTAATTGCAGTTTTTGCCATTACTTTCAAGGGCAAAAATTGCAATTATTTTTGCACTAACCTATTATGATACCAATGTTTGCAGAGCTTAAAAACACCCAGTAACAGGAAAACCATGAGTTAATAGCAAGAGAAATAAATGGCTTGATGCAACTTGGGGGAGGTATTATAAAACAGCACCCAGATTCCTGGGTCTAATTTGATTGAATATTTTTTTAAATCAATGGCTGTCAGAATTGAAAGGATTCTCAATCATTTTGTGGCTATAAACTAGGTTAAAGTTTCTAGCTTTTCTGAAAAATAATAGAATTCCAAGTAACCTTGACAAATCAGAGATAGAAATGATCCATCAAAAACAAGATAGTGTTTATTAGGTGTGAGTGCAAGGCAGCACACTTACAAATGAAAAGTGAAACACGGAAAAAAATACAAAGAAATCCTGACTACCAGAGAGTAAGTAGGGGAAAAAAGAAATTGAGGTCATAGAGTGTACGGTGAATATGATCCATTTGTGTGGCACTGACGAAAGCAGTAAGACAGTGATATTGTCTCACCAGTTTGATCAGTCCATAAAAGGACTAGGTATAATTGAAAATACTATTTTTTTTAGTGTACAGATTGGGAAGAGTTCAGAAAAAAGTAATTACAATTACCAGAACCCTGGAAAACAAAAACCATAATAAAAGTTTGTAGACTCGTAATGCCAAAAGAAAACAGGGGGTAGCGATTTTCAACAGAGTAATATGAAGGGTATTACAAGGAGAACACCAATCAGCTGTTCCTCTCTGTAAACAGTAAGATGGGAGAAAGTAGGCTTCAGAGGAGACTTAGGGGTTAAGTTCCTTGTGGGGAATAGAATTAAACACTGGAAAATAGTTAAGAAGTATTTAAAACGAGCACTCCTGTTAATAGGAGGGCAACTATTCATCATGAAAAGGTCTTAGAAAGAATTTTTAGGACATAAGAACAGAACACTTGCAAGCATAGTTCTGAGGAAAGAAACATTTTTGAAAAAGAATGGAGGAGAGTTAAGGTATACAGAAAGGACGGCCTGTTAAAAGAAGTACACAAATCACATACTCAAGGAAAACTGCCTGTGTGTTTCTTCTATAGCTTTATTTTATTAAAATTGAATTCCCCAAACTAAAATTCCAAATAATACAAACTTGTTTTCAATGGACATTGTCCACTGCCAACTATGGCTCTTTGCTACTATTGGGTCGATCTAGTGTTTCAAAAATCAGGAGTGGCTACCCCATATATGCAGGGAATGCATTCTCCCGTCCCCACAGTGCCTGCCACTCCCTGTGATCTTACTGCCAGAACCTTCACCTCATTCAGGTTACCTCACTAGCCCTTATAAACATTTACATTTACAGCCTTGTTTTAAATGATAAGAGATAAAACAAGATTCTGAATCAACTTCCTCATTATTCTACACATTACATTTCTGTGAAAATGTCAAGGCCTTTTATTTAGGTTACATAGTGATAATAATGAAGAAAATCAAAGTTTTGATTTATCCCAGGGATCGAAAAACTACAAAACTCAAGTCATTCCAGCTCCAGAATTCAAAGATTCTTCTTCAAAGGTATGAAAGGAACATACATCATGCCAATTGCTTCTAAGTCAAAAACAGAAATATATGCTAAGATCCTTCAAGTTAGTTTTCAGAAGGAATTTACATGCAATCTTCTCAGAAATGGCGAGAATGCAGTAGAGACGGGACAAATAGCCAATGCTATGAGCTTACTAGTTAGTTTGCTGTTGTTGGTGGTGGTGGTTGGTGGTGGTGGTGGTGGTGGTGGTGGTTGTTGTTGTTGTTGTTTTATTAGAGACAGAGTCTCAATTCATCACCCAGCCTGGAATGCAGAAGCCATCATAGCTCACTGCAGCCTTGAACTCCCGGGCACAAGCAATCCTCCCGCCTCAGCCTCCTGAATAGCTGGGACTACAGGCATGTGCCACCACACCCGTCCAATTTTTTTTCATTTTTTGTACAGACAGGGTCTCCCTATGTTGCCCAGGCTGGTCTCGAACTCCTGAGCTCAAGCAATTCTCCCGTTTTGGCTTCCCAAAGGGCTAGGATTACAGGCATGGGCCACCATGCCCAGCACAAGTTAATTTTGATAGAAACAGAATATAAATCTCTGTATTCCCAGTCCAGTGCTCTTTCTAGGAAACTATATTCTCCTTTCTAAGGGCTATAATCACTGGCCCTATTCTCTAAAGGAATTTGTAACATTTCTAAGAAAAGTGCATCTCATTTCGTTTATTCTTATCCAACTATACGTTTGAAACAGATGCCTAAAGAATTAAAATGTATCATGAATGAAGAAACTACAATATAAAGAAAACTTGGGAGAGAAAAGAAAAGAAGGAATGAGGCAAGTCAAACAAGCTAAGTTTGAGAAGGAAACAAGTATGCCAGAAGATCCTACAAATGAAAAATACTACCTAGCACACCCAGAGAACAACAAAAAGTTGGATATTTTCATTCTCTCTCTCTCTCTGTCTTATTCCATATTAGAGTATTAAAACACTGGCATGTCACCAGGGTAATACATTAATAAAATGGAAAGAGATGGCTCCATATTTATGAGAGATGCATAAGGACATATTTCCTCAAGCACTAAGGTGTTCAACACACTGCATTTTCCCGTTACTGGTGTTTTTTTCCTTTTTTGCAGCCACTCTAAGCTTCTTATTAAACTCTCAAATCACAGCTAAACCTCCCAAGAGAAGAACAAAGGACAGAACGAAGCCAAGGTAAGTAGGTAAAGGGGCTGCAGTTACTAAATGTGAGTCTGTCAGGAATATGGCATCATCAGACGTTTCTCCTTTCTTTCCCTCTACACTCTTCAGTCTAAGCTACGTGATGCCGAAAATGTTTGAAGCAAACCTTGCCACTCTTGGCACACATGCAGTCTGTTCTTCCCGTAAAGTCACACATGCACATTGACTCAAGTTTCATGCCTGAGAGAGAGCTCTACAAACCACTTAGATGCCAAGGAGTGATTTTTTTTATCTTTCTTCAAAAAAACCACCAACACAAAAAAAACACTCAAAGTGGGTGCGCGTAGGTGTGTGGTGTGGTTGACTTTTTTGGTTGGGAGAATGAGCAAGAAAGAGATGAGCTGTCAAAATATATATACAACAGCTTGATATTTCAGCATAAATTCTACACTGCAAAGACAGAACTGACTATAGACATTATTGAGTGGCCATATTTATATCTCATTAATATTATATATAAAAATACTTTCCATCAATAAGGAAAGAAAAATTCTATTAAATATTGTTAAGAGACAGGGATAACTGGCCAAAGAATTGTATCAATTTTATTTGCTGTTTTTCAAAAATATATATTTTTATTTGACTATGAAAAAAGCAAAACATATGCTTCCACCTTACAGAATAATAAAATATATAATTATAAAACCTCAGATTCTAGCCATCTAAATCACATCTCTTTTCCAATGTAAAAATTTCATTCCCAGATAGACATCTTACCCAACTTCAGACTCTTTGGAAAGCTACAATAATTAGAAAAGCTAAAAATATGTCAAAATCGCATTTTTTTTCCTGAACTATCAATTACTATATTTTGATATATCCCTTTCTTACTATCAGACTAAACTTAAACTATAAATATTTTGGCATTTAAATATTATCTCATACCATCCTTCAATTCTTTTATCTATTTAAATAAATATCCTCTAATGATGAATTTTTCAAAATTCTTAAGGGAAATAAATAGGATAGCCACCTTAAGGGGAGACAGAGCCAAAGGAACATTTTTATTCAAGGAAAAGTGATTATATTTGCAGGCCTAATGGGAATGAACCAATGAACACGCATAATTTGAAGATATAAGGAAAAGAATTTTGATGGAGCAAAAGGAGCAGAAGAAAGATGAGATCAAGAACACAGGTAGCAGAGTGCTAGAGATAAAAGGGAGGCAAAGCCAAGTCTTTCGTGGTGAGTTTCCAAACCAAAACCACTACCTTATACTTGATGGAAAGCACAGCTGGCTCCCTTTCTACCCCTCCTTCTTCATCCCTTCTGATATCACTCTGATGGGTTTGTGGAAATGGCTAGAGAATTTAGGCAGATTTAAAGTAGGGAACAAAGGATAATGGCTAAGAGTTGTTGACTCAGTCCAAGCCTGAAAGTCTAAAAATTTAAAGTCCCAACCTGGGAATCTGAGCTTCGAGCTAGGAGGTAGGTTCCCAAAACTCTAGTTCTAGCTCTAACCAGCTGTGAAACCTTGAGTGAAAAATGGGACTCTTCTTTTGGAATGTCACTTAGGTAAGCAGTTAGAACTAAAGTAAGATTTCTTAGGTCTCTTACAGCTTGAGTCATTATTTTATGTACTTTATCACAACTGTTATACCAACTGGAGAGGGGTAATCAGATAATCATTAAAGAAGGATGATGGCCTTTGTACAAAAATCTTCATAAGAATTCTAGTTGCAGATGGGATTCTATCTGTATTCTTTTTTACCATTAAGGCATATTTCACTTAAGGAACTTACAGCACAGGAAGCAGCCACAGTAAATATAATTCCATGGTTGAGGTTTTGTTTGTTTATTTCCTGAGCAACTGTCAATAGAAAAATTCATTGTTTGAGAATGTACTTTGGAATGCCCTGAAT